AAGGGACAATGTCCAGACCCTAAATTCAAGCCCCAGTATAGGGACACACACACACACACACACACACACACAGAGTTTGAATAAGGAACTGAATTCAAGCCCCCAGTATAGGGGCACGCGCGCGCGCGCGCGCGCGCGCACACACACACACACACACACACACACACACAGGGTTTGAATAATGAACTGAGTGCATGACTTGAGTCCATCAACAATGTTGAATTTGTCCAGAGCTGGAGCTTCCTTGAAGGTAGAACGCTCACTCAGTGCCGAGGAATGAGACGATTCACTCTGCCCGCAGGAAGGATGCTGAGTTGCAAATAATGACTGCCCCCCAGGGGACTGACCGTGTAAGTAAACTCGCCCGGTTACCGAATTCAAAGCTCTTGCCACCGCCCTCTTTTTCCCCCCACCTTTTTCTTTTTCTTTTCTTTTTTAGTATCTTGGGGCTTGAACTCATGGTCTGGACGCTGATTCTGAGTTTTTGTGCTGGTTCTCTCTCTACCATTTAGCCTCCACTTCCAGCGTCCTGACTGGCTTCGCACCGCACCGCGCTCCTCGGATCTCAGCCTCACGAGAGCCTAGGATTACGGGCGTGAGCCACCAGCGCCTTCCAACAGCTCAACCTCAGGCTCTCCCCAGCACTAGGCGGGCTGACTGCTGCAGAGTTGGGTTGGCAAAGCCGGAGCCGAGTCCTCCGGGGCGGCCGCTGGTCCCTAGCCGTTTCTCTGGGCTCCGTGGGCCGAGGAGCCGCGTAGATGCCCTGGCGGAGCGCGTCAGCAGCGAGGCGATGCGCACGGCCCCGGTGACGGTCCCCGCCACCCCCACCCCCGGCTCCCCGCACTCCCCCCACCCCGCTCCGAAAAGGGGCGGGGAATAGGAGGAGCTGGAGGCGGTCCCCGGGCTCCGCAGCGCAGGGCGATCTTTAAAAGCCGCGGGTTTTGATAGCGGTCCCCAGGCTGCTGCCGCAGTCCGGCTCCGCGCGCCCCGCGCCCCCGGCTCGCCCGCACTGCGGCGAGGTCCCGACCGCTCGGCCAGCGCTCCAGCGCGGGGCGCGCTCCATGCGGCCGCCCAACATGTCCGGGCACTTTCTGCTCGCTCCCATTCCCGAGTCCTCCTCCGACTACCTCCTGCCCAGGGACATCAAGCTGGCGGTGCTCGGCGCCGGCCGCGTGGGCAAGAGCGGTAAGTGCGGCGGGGACCCGGCCGTGCACCTGCCAGGGGCCGGGGGAGACCCCGAGCTGCCTCGGCAGAGGCGGGAAGGCCAAGGACCCGAGCACACTGGCGGTTCGGGCGCCGGGAGGACCCCTTCCCCTCCTCCCGTTCCCCCGATGGGTGAGGGGCGTCCACTCCTGGAATCTCGCGTGGGGGTGGCACCTGTTGGGGGATATGGGGTTGCAGGAGGGTGTGCCCGCCCGTCGGTGGGTGACAAGCCCCGCTGGACTTGGGCCGTGTCCCCGAAGCGGGCAGCGCGCGGTTCCGCGCGGGGTGGGCATGGCTCCCCCCAGTGACCCCCCACACGGCAGAGCCCGGGACTGATGGCTCTGTCTGAAGCCTTCCGTTCAGTTTCCAATTTCCTTTTCAGCAATGATTGTGCGCTTCCTGACCAAAAGATTCATTGGCGACTATGAACCCAATACAGGTTAGAATCGCTTCCTGATTTTGTGCTTGTATGTTTCTTTTTGCCGATTCCAGTATAGGAATGAGGAGGGACGCGGGGGGGGGGGGTGTGCTTGAACTCAGAAACTGGGACTTTCCCTTAGCTTTTTCTACCACTTGGTGGTTGGTTGGAGGTAAGTGTCTTAACAGACTTTCCTGCTTTGGTTGGCTTTGAACTGTGATTTTCAGATCTCAACCTCATGAGTAATTAGGATTACAGGTTGAGCCACCGGGCTCTGCTCAGTGTGGAAATCTTTATTTCTTTCTTCATTTCTTTTTTTCCTTCTGTCCTTTAAAGCTAACTCCCCTTCTTTACAGGCAAGCTGTATTCCCGGCTAGTCTTTGTGGAGGGGGACCAGCTATCAATACAGATCCAGGATACTCCTGGGGCCATCCAGGTAAGGACGAAAAGGAGCAAATCACTTTCCCCACCATGCCACTCCTGTAGGGGTGTCTAAACACTTAAAGCATGTGTTTAAATGAGAAGTGGGGGGTTAACTCTAAGAGGGGCAGCTTCCCCCCCCCCACTCTCTCTCAGTGCTTGTCCTAGGTTTTAAACCCTGGTCTCAAGCTCTTTTGTTCAAGGTTGGCACTCCACCACTTGAGCCACACCTCTACAGCTCTTTTGCTGGTTAATTGGAGATAGTCTCACGCTGTCTGGGCTGATTTTGAACAGCCATCCTCGTATCTCAGCTTCCTGAGTAAACTAGGATTACAGATGTGAGCCAGCAGCCTCTGTTAAGCCTCTTGACTCAAACTTTACAGCTCTTCTGGGCCAGCACTACCTGGACGACTTAGGCAATTACCACTTTCAGAGCTCAAAGACCAAACACTTAACAAAACAACAACAAAAATGACAAACTGTAATCTAGGGTATCACTCAGTGGTTAGTGTATGTCTGGCACAAAAGTTGTCCTGGGTCCAATCCTTAGCACCACAGGATGAAAACAAAATATAGGTGGATTTTGGTGGAAAGGGTCTTTTCTCCTGACAATGTTGCCTCACATAAGTAATTGCAATCAGATTACCCCTGGCCAGTGGCATGGAATGCAATTTAACTAACAAGTTACTAATTGCTAAGCTCTACTAGGGAGGAAAGGGCTTGTGGAGGAACTCAAAGAAAGGAATTTGTTTCTGTAACATTCTCAAGAAGTTGCCTGCTAAAAATATTTTTATGGGTTTGGGAATAGATATTTATCTTGGCTTATTTTCAAAGTTTTGTTTATTATGAATTAGTTCCCTAAAACTCTGAGCCATTCTAGTCTGAAGTCATTCTTCAAGTCATCCAGGGTTCACCAGAGAGGGCCTCTCAAGCGGGAGGCGAGGGGCTGTGAGGGGGAGGGTTGAAAATAATCTATGGATAAAAAGCTTATAAAATAATCTAGACTGGGAGCTTGAGAATTTCACTTTGCCTCCCAGAAAGCTCTATTTGCTGAAGCTAGCAAGATCCTGAAAACTATCCTGATTGTGTGTGTGTGTGTGTGTGTGTGTGTGTGTGTGTGTGTACCCATACTAGGGCTTGAACTCAGAGCCTGATCTCTATCTCCTGGCTTTTTCATTCAATGCTAGTGATCTATTACTTAATCACAGCTTCATTTCCAGTTTAATTGGAGATAAGAGTCTCATAGACTTTTCTGCCCCGGCTGGCTTCCAATTATGAATCCCAGATCTCAGTCTCTGGAGTATCTAGGATTAAAGCATGAGCAGCTAGCACCTGGTTCATGATTTCTTTTTGCCATGGTCCTTCATGAGTTACTTTGGGGTCATATTTGTGCTTGTCTCACTGGGGGCTGCTTTGACCTGGTGTCATTTTGATCTTTCTCAGGCCCAAGACAACCTCAGCCAGGCAATGGATTCTCTATCCAAGTGTGTCCAGTGGGCTGATGGCTTTCTGCTGGTCTACTCCATCACAGACTATGACAGCTACCAGTCCATCCGGCCCCTTTATCAACACATCCGGAAGGTCCACCCTGACTCCAAAGTCCCTGTCATTATCGTGGGTAACAAGGGGGATCTCCTGCATGCCCGGCAAGTGCAAACACATGATGGTGTTCAGCTAGCCAATGAACTGGGAAGCCTGTTCCTGGAAATTTCCACGAGTGAAAACTATGAAGATGTCTATGATGTGTTTCAGCATCTCTGCAAAGAAGTGAGCAAGGTGCACAGCCTTGGTGGTGAGCGGAGAAGGGCCTCCATCATCCCCCGGCCCCGTTCTCCTAACATGCAAGACCTGAAAAGGCGCTTCAAGCAGGCTCTGTCTTCTAAAGTAAAATCTACCTCCGCATTGGGGTGACCGCTCTCAGAGACACTGATGTCTTTTTCAATGTATAATGCAGCTACAAAGACTGAATTTCCAGCTGGGCTTCAGTGGCTCATACCTATAAATCCTAGCTACTAAAGAGGTTGAGATCTGAGGATCAGAGTTCAAAGTCAGCCCAAGCAGGAGAGTCCATGAGATTCTTATCTCCTGCTATCCACCAAAAAGCTGGATGTAGAGCTTTAGCCCAAAATAGTAGAACATCAGCCTTGAGTAAAAAAGCTAAGGGACAGTATCCAGGCCCTGAGTTCAAGCCCCAGTACTAGCACACACACACACACACACACCTCCACACACACACAACCAGGTTTTCTCCCATTTTAATCACCCATTCAGAGTTTATTTTTCTAAAGACTTTATTGGTTTTCAAGTGTAAGTGTATTCCTAAAATGTCAGTGATTACCTAGAAGTTGTACAGATTTTTTTTTAAATAAAATAACTTTTTTTTAACTGTAACTACTAGCCACTTTTCCATTAAAGGCAAAATGGCAACATTGCTCTGTTTTCTAAATGTCTATTTATAGAAATTGTTCTTGCACCAGAGCCCAGAAGTGCTCAATGCTTTCCCCAAATCTGAACTCTGATTGGTGTCTTGCAGTAGGGAATGGGTCACGGGGAGGGAGGTTGATGTGGGAGGAAGGGAAATATGTGGAGGAGGAAATGGAACAGAATAACTGCATGATATCTTTAATTGGGGCACTTGGCCAACAGTCATGAAATTGACACTGATTTTCAAGAAGAGAGATACATTATGAACTGATGCTTAAAAGATAGAGATCCTGAATATTATGATTTATTAGTACAAATCAAAGTGTTGCCTCTCATATTTAAAAGAAGAAAAACTCCAGTTGGGTGCTGATAGCTCACATCTGCAATCCTTGCTACTCAAGAAGCTGAGATCTGATTGTAGTTCAAAGCCAACCCAGGCAGAAAATTCCATGAGATACCTATCCCCAATTAACTGGCAAAAAGCCAGGAATAGAGGTGTTGTTCAAGTAGCAGAGTACCAAACTTGGTTGGAAAAAAAAACAGGCAAGAGTGTGAGACCCTGAGTTCAAGCCCAGATAACAGAAAAAGAAAAGAAAAACTGCTTTGTATTTTTTCCAGGATTTTTTTTTTGGTTGGTTGTGGGGATTGAACTCTGGGCCTGGGCGCCGTCCCTGCGCTCTTCAGCTCAAGGTAGGCACTCTACTTCTTGAGCCACAGCACCACTTCCAGTTTTCTAGTGGTTTATTGGAGATAAGAGTCTCATGGACTTTCCTGCCCAGGCTGGCTTTGAACCATGATCCTCAGATCTCAGCCTCCTGAGTAGCTAGGATTACAGGCATGAAGTCACCGGCACCCAGCTCCAGGATTTTTTTTTAAATGTCAGTAATACATTTTGTCCTCCATAATTCTTCCCTTCCTGTCTTCCCTGAGCTTCTATTGCATATAGTGGTCATTGGGAGATGCTGAAAGTATGATTTTATGAGTGGCAGTTAGGGGCTGGGGGTTTAGCTCAGCGGAAGAGCGCCTGCCTGGTGAGTGCAAGGCCCTGAGTTCAGTCCTCGGCTCTGGAAAAAATAAAAAAGCTATAAAAGACCAAAAACAAACAAAACAAACCCAAGGCAACTGCACATGAGTGGCAGTTTAGCATCAAAAGAGAAGTTTTTTTAGGTTTACAATATTTAAAGATGGGAAGAATATCATAAACAAATTTCACAGAGAAAACACTCCATATATGAGGTACATTAATCACTTTAGTGAGTGAGTTCCAGAAGTGTTTAAGTCCTCAAAGCTCAATTAGAATGGAAATAGATGTCTGTGGAAAAGAAAGTAAGCATAGTATAAGTAAGAATGTAGACCAGGTACAGTGGCTCACACCTGCAATCCCATTTACTTAGAGGTACAGCGCATAAAAATAGGAGAATCACAGTACCAGACCCGCCTGGAGAAAAAGTTAGACCCTATTTCAAAAGTAATCCAGGTGGGGTGGCATACTCTGTGCTCTGAGCAACGTGGGAGAGGGGGATGGGAGGATTATAGAGGCTACCACAGTGAAAGTGGGTGACTATGCAAAGCAAACTAAAAGCAAAAGGGCTGGGGTTTTGGCTCAAGTGGTTGAGTACCTGCCTGAAAAAAAAAGTGTTTGGGGGACAGAGTGCTAGGAATTGACCCAAACCCTGGCATATTTGTAAGTGCTGCCTGGAGAGGGGGATTAGACTAAGACCATGAGAACCCTCAGAGAGACAAGACACAGGTGTTGGCTGGCAAAGCATGGTGATTGGCCCAAAGCTAGTGTCACCCTGTTGTAGCTGAACTCTAGATCTTCAGAGAAGCAGCTTGCTTGTATGTAGCCCTGCTATGGCTGAGCCTCTCAAGGTGCCTGTCAAACTCTTGAGTTTCTGTGTGTTTTGAAGTTCAGTAGTTGAGGTCAGTAGCTAGGATAGTAACCACAAACAGAGTCCGGTAAGGTTGGGTGTTAACATTCCTGAGGGGAAAGCAACATCTCTTCAAGTTCTCACACATGGGGAAGGATATGCGACAAAACAGACCTCTCCAACAGCAAGCTGCATATGTGTTTGGAATCATTTCAAACCTACATACCACCCTCATGTCCTCTAGGGCCTCAGATCTGTCAGTGCTCGCTCCTGTTCTTTTTTTTCCCCCCTAAAGCCTCTCTCTGCCCATATCCAGGCTTTGAGAGTTCTTGTCTAGAGGGACAGGGCAAGAATCTAAGAAAGGCTGCATGCTAGGGGCTCATGTCTGTAACCCTGGCTACTGAGGAGGCTGAGATCTGAGAAGCATGATTGGAAGCTACTTTAAGCAGGAAAGTCCATGAGACTCTTATCTCCAATTAATCAGCACAAGTCTGGAAATGGAGGTATGGCTCAAGAGGTAAAGCACCAGCCTTGAGTCAAAAGGCTAAGGGACAGCACCCAGGCTTTGAGTTGAAGTTCCAAGTACAGAAAGAAGAAATAAAGAAAGAAGAATTCCACTTGATCAACTTAATTCCTTTTCTTTTATCCTCCCTCCCTTGTTCCCCTTCCCTCCCACCCTCTTTTCTGAGCTGTTTTGCTTTGCAATATGTTACTGGTAATGAGTTGCAAGATAATGCAATCTTGTTTTCTTCTAAATATTTGAGTTCAAAACTCCTGTATCTAAAGAAATACGGTTGGGGTCATTAATAAAGAAAATCTTTCTATCTTAAAAAAAAAGAAGAAAGAAAGAAAGGGAGGAAGGAAGGAAGGAAGGAGAGAGAAAGAGAGAGACAAAGAAAGAAAGAAAGAAAGAAAGACACTAAGAATCTAAGCAAGTCTAGTTTCTGGGTCACTAGAACAACATCTCTTCAATTTTCTTCACACCAGAACAACTTTACTAACACCACCCTTCATCATTTGATTTCCTTTCCTTTTCTTTTAGGTCTGAGACCAGGACTCAAACTTGGTACCTGCTGCCACTTTTGCTCATTGGATAGCATTCTGCCAGTTGAGCCACACCTCCAATCCCTATCACTTGATTTTCATGTTTGAAAAATATGAATGAGACATGGAATTAAGATTATTTTTTCTTTCCGTGCACTATTGTCTTAGGCATCTTTGTTTTTAGTTTTGCCAGTCCTGGGACTTGAATTCAGGGCCTGGGCTTTGTCACTGAGCCTCTTTGTGCTCAAGGCTAGCTCAGCCACAGACACGACCAATTCTGAGTAGTTTATTAGAGATAAGAGTTTCATGGATTCTTCTGCCTGTTCTGGCTTTGAACCATGATCTTCAGATCTTAGCCCCTTGAATAACTAGGATTACTGGCGCCTGACTAGTAAAAGTTTACTTTATTGTTATTATAAATGTGATATACAGAGGGATTACAATTACATGAGTCAGATAATGTGTATATTTCCTTTGACCTCTGTGGTTGTAACATCCCTTCCCTGCAAACTTCCCATGCCCAGAGCCCAGCCAATAGTTCATCCTAACAACTGCCTTCCTCAGTGGCCTTCAGGCTCTGCTACCTTTCCTGCCTTGGCACTAACTATCCCTTGGTACCAAATACTTTCTCCTATCTCTATATACCTAAGGGCTCACTAACTAATCTTCTAAGATGCTAGATGCAGCTGGGGTATTTCTTCTCTGAGTCTTCCTCTAGCCACCTAGGTTTTGTGTCATAACCCAACAGTGTCATGTATTTTTCACCCACATTGAAAGAAGCACCCCACAGGGCAATAACTGTTTTTATGATTCTAGTCCAATGCTTTCCTATATAGTGCCAGCTTTCAGTACACATGTGATGAATGACAGAATGTAATATTTTTGGGGCCAGAGTGTAGTAATGGGAAATTACAGTAGAACAAGTGATTATTTCTGCAGAATGAACAGAGGGAGTTTGTTTACAGTCACTTTATTTTTTTTTTTTCTGCAGTGCTAAAGATTGAGTCCAGGGCCTGGAGCATATAGGGAAACATTCTACTACTGAATTCTATTTCCAGCCCTGGGAAGTCTTTTTTTGTTTTGTCTTGTTTTTTGGGGGGGAGGTTTTTTTTTTTTTTGGGTCCCGTTGTGGGGCCTGAACTCTGGGCCTGGGAGCTGTCCCTCAGCTCAAGGCTAGCACTCTACCACTTGAGCCACAGCTCTACTTCTGTCTTTTTTTTTCTGCTTATGTGGTGTTGAGGAATTGAACCCAGGGCCTCATGCATGCAAGGCAAGCGCTCTACCACTGAGCCACCTTCCCAGCCCCTTTTGTTTGTTTCTATCTTCCCCACATCGCCTTACTGGTGTTTGAATTCAGAGCCTTGAAACTGCCAGGCAAACCATGCCTCTAGTCCTTTTCCTTTTAGTTTATTTTTCAGTTAGGGTCTCACTGTTTTGTTGGGGGAGGGGCCAGACTCCAATGGAGATCTTCCTACCTTTACCTCCTGAGCCTCCTGAGAATCTGGAAATAAATGCATAAGTGACCCAGAGTTGTTTTAAGGAAAATTTCTTCTGATGAAGACTGCATTGGACAAAATTCCTGAGATAATCAACTTAAAAGGAGAAAAGTGCTGGGTGCAAGTGGCTCGTACCTGTACTCCTAGCTATTCTACAGGCTGAGATCTGAAGGTTTCAGCTTGACCTCAGTTTGGGAAGAAAAGTTTGTGAGACTCATATTTTAAATTAGCTAGTAAAGTCAGTTGGAGGCATGGTTCACGTGGTGAAGCACCAGCCTTGAGTAAAAAAGTCAATTACCAATCAAAAGCATGAGGCCCTAGCCAGGCATTGGTGGCTCATGCCTATAATCCTAGCTACTGAGGAGGTTGAGATCTGAGGATTGAGGCTCAAAGCCAGCCCAGGCAGGAATGCCAGTGAGACTCTTATCTCCAATTAACCGCCAGGAAACTGGAAGTGACTCTGTGGGTCAAGTGGTAGAGCACTCACTTTGAGCTCAGGGACAGCACTCAGGCCCAGAGTTCAAGCCCCACGACTAACCAAAAAAAAAAAAAAAGTGCATGAGACCTTAAGTTCAAGTCCTAGTACAATGTGTG